ATCTCTAGCATCAAAAAGAAAGAAACAGAGACAAAATAAACAGGATCACGAGAAGGAAGAGGAAACGGGGAAGCAACAAACTCCTGAGTCAGAAAACGAGAGGCAACCAGATGGACATACTGAGGCAGAAAGCAGCAATAATCAGCTGAATTACAATGGCACCATGTAGAAAAAACTCTATGTCTCCTAACAGCTCTGAGGAAAAAGTGGAAAATACCTACCCAAATGAAGAACTTGTCGAAAAAGAGCAGCCAAGGATCAATCTTATAAGTAAGTCTACTAGCTTACCTACTAAGATTAAAAATCAAGAACCTTTACAATTAGCGGTGGAGCTGAACAATGAGCAGGTAGTTGATCAACCTCCTAGGCCTCCAGACAACAATTCGAAAGGTATTATCAAATGCAGAAAGGACAAAGATCTCACTGCATCCAGTTCTACAATCTCCAACAGAGAAAAAGAGGGATCACAAGCACAACGAGAAAATACTCAGTACAAGGATGATGATACTGCATATACTAGAGGAAGAAGCAAACAAAGAATAAGAGGAAAAAGATCCAACGCAAAGACTCGTTCTCCCCGTAAGAAAAGAGAGCAGAAACGAAACAAAAACCCCTCCGCTAGTATTCCATGATCAGTGCTATTTTCTGGAATATTAGGGGAATGAGATCAACAAAAGCAAATCACAGAATTAAATATTTGGTTAACATTAACAAACTGGTCTACCTTGCTATTTGTGAACCACTTGTTAATATAACTAAGATTGAGGGATACAGGAAGTTTCTTGGATTCCAATATTGTATGGCTAATACAAATGGCAAAATATGGTGTTTTTGGAATCATATTGATCAAGCTGAAGTCATTGCGAATGAAGATCAACAAATAACTATTAGATTCAAGGACAAGAATTGCACCATTGGTAGATACATATATGCTATTTATGCCAAATGCACTTCCTTGGAAAGAAGAGAGTTATGGGATAGTTTGGAAAGTATGAGCAACTCCATAGATGATCCACGGTGTATTGGAGGAGACTTCAATGCAATAATGGATCCTAATGAGAAACTAGGGGGCATACCCCACCGGGCTAGCAAATGTTTTGACTTTATTAGCACCATGAAGGCTTGTGGACTATCTGATATTGGTTTTGTTGGTCCTAACTCCTAGGTATACTTGGTGTAATAACAGGAGACCCGGTAAAAGAATATGGAAAAGACTTGATAGAGTGTTCGTTAATGATCTATGGGCTGAAAACTATCAAACCAACACCATCAAACATCTGGTTAGAGTAGGATCAGATCACTGATCTTTACTGATGAAATGCCACTCTGATCAGAATGATTTCATCAGATATTGTAGGTTTTTAAACCTATGGACTCAGCATCAAGACTTCCTTCAGGTAGTGCAAGATTCTTGGAATATGAATTTCATTGGTAATGCCATGTGGAGATTACAAAGTAAGTTAAATATCTCAGCAAAAGACTCAGTCAGTGGTCTAGAAACACCATTGGAGATATTTATGAACAGGTTAACACTTGGGAAGCTAAGGTGCAGCTTCTGGAAGAACTGGATGTTGTCAATAATACTGAACAAAGCAGGGAGGAATTGAACAAGGAGCAAGCAGAGTATGTAAAATGGCTCAGTATGCAAGAGGCTCTTCTTAGGCAAAAGGCTAGAATCAGATGGTTTAAAGATGGAGATTGTACTAGCAAGTATTTTCACAGTGTTATTAGAGATAGGAGGAAGAAACTTCACATTCACAGGATCAAGAACCACAATGATAGATTGATTCAGGGGGGAAAACTTGTCAAAGCTGCTATTAGGCATTACAGGAAACTTTTTAATTTGGAGCAGCCTGCTATGAATAACAACTTCCTGGAGTGTATTCCAAGTCTGATTACTGATGATGATAATGAAGCACTTCACAAAACTCTTATGGAGGAAGAAATCAAAGATGCAATATTCAATATGAGTGCTGACAGCAGTGCAGGACCAGATGACTTCAATGGTAAGTTTTTTCGTACTTGTTGGGATATTATTAAATATGATATCTGTGAATTTATTGTTGAATTTTTCTCTGGTAAAAAGCTTACAAAATATTTCACTCACACTTGTCTGGCCTTAATTACCCTTCAAATTTCTCTCACTTGAGACTTATTAGTCTAAGCAATTTTTCCAACAAAACTGTTTCCAAAATTTTATCCAGAAGACTTAATCCTATCCTACAAAGACTCATTTCTGTTAATCAAAGTGGCTTTATTACTGGTAGGTTTATTGCTAAAAATGTTATGCTTGCCCAAGAAATTGTTCATGGCATGTCTAAACCTAATGTTGGTGGTAATATTGTTGTCAAATTAGACACGGCTAAAGCTTATGATAGAATGAACTGAAATTTTCTTAAAGAAGTCCTTAAAAGATTTGATTTTTCAGACAAATGGATCACTCTTATATGAAATCTTATTTCTAATGTTTGGTACTCCATTTTGTTTAATGGCACTAGATATGGCTTTTTCTCCTCGTCTCAGGGTCTCAAACAGGGTGATCCTCTATCTCCCTCTATTTTTATTTTGGGTGTAGAGGTTCTTTCCAGAACTCTGAACAGTTTGCTCACTAACAATAACTTTACTCCTTTTTCCATGTATAAAAGAGGCCCCCAAATCAATCACCTTGCTTATGCTGATGATATTGTTATCTTCAGTAGTGGCAATAGTAAGTCTGTTAAACTTATTATGAAACAGGTGAAGAATTATGAAAGTGTCTCAAGTCAGAGTGAACAAGGACAAACGTTACTTCCTTCATTAGCCCTAAAGCTGGTGCTTACAGGATTAATAGAATGAGGAGGTGTACTGATTTTATGGATAAAAACTTCCCTTTTACATACTTGGGTTGCCCCATTTATATAGGGATTTTTTTTTCTCTTACTTTGATGACATGGTCACCAAGGTAGTCAAAAGACTCAATGGCTGGCAGGGTAAGATGCTCACCCATGGTGGAAGAATTGTTATGATCAGAAGTGTTCTTCAATCTCTTCCTACTTATACTCTCACTTCCATTGACCCCCTTGATAGCACTCTTAATCGGTTAGAAAAACATTTTGCAAGATTTTTCTGGAGTTTCAATGAGAATAAATCCAAGAACCATTGGATATTATGGAAGAACTTATGTACCTCTAAAGATGAGGGTGGCGTGGGCATTAGAAGTATGAATGATATTTATAAAACATTGTCCATTAAAAGATGGTGGAGGTAAAGAACTCAACCATATCTTTGGGCTGAGTTTATGATGGCTAAGTACTGCTTCACAATCCACCCTGTATCTAAATCTTGGATTTGGGGTAATTCGCAAGCTTGAAATTTTTTACTTAAAGCTAGAGATGATGCAGAACACAGCATTTGTGGAAGATAAATTGTGGCACTTGTAATATGTGGTGGGATAATTGGTGTGAGAATGGCCCTTTTGCTAAACTATATCCTGATTGTACGTACAATGTTGTGAATTCTGTCAAGGAGTACATTTCTAATCGTAATTGGAATATGGATATGCTTAAAAATGTGCTCCCTGATAATATAGTTCATCACATTGGTGACATCTCAATTGGGGATGAGAGTCACTATGATTATGTTATATGGAACGTCTTACTCAAGATGGTCTTTATTCTAACATCTCTGCTTGGCAAAGCATAAGAGAGGTTAGACAGAAAAACCTCTTCTTAGGCAACGTATGACATAAAAATCTCTCTTTCAAAATATCCTTTTTCACTTGGAGATTAATCTTTAAAAAAATCACCTTTTGATGAAGTCCTTCACAAGTTTGGAAAACGTTTAGTTTCTAATTGTATGTGTTGTACAACTCTAGTTGTATGTGAATCCTTGCAGCAGTTTTCAGTAATAGTGATATGGCCAAATACATAGGGAAATTTTTTGAAAACTCCCTTGGAATTAATCACCGAGGGGGAGATGTTCAAAGAATTTTCAGAGTTTGATGGAACTTAAGCACCACCAACAGTGTATAGAGTATGATGCAACAAATTACCGCTATTTGCATTTCTTGGGAAATCTGGAAAAGCTGGACAACTTGTAAATATGGCAGTCATAAAAAAATTGTGACTTAAAATATGGAGGTGCATATCCCGTGGAATATCAAGGCAGCCATTTCCACTGCCTTTCCAAACTGTGACACTACAGGTACATGGGCTGAATTTTGTGCAAGAATTGAAAGGTATAAACCTATTGTGAGATGGAGACAAGTCAGGTGGATGAAACCTGAGATAGGTAAGATCAAAGCCAACACAGATGGGAGCTTCATCAACGAAAACTCTAGAGCTCGTATAGGAGGAATCATTAGGTATGCTACTGGTAACCTTATCATGGAATTCTCAGTCCCTGCTCGACCAACAATCAAGCTGAAGCTATGGAAGCATTATATGTTACCAGATGGTGCAAGCAAGCTGGATACAACAAATATGACTTGGAACTTAATTCTATGTTACTGGCCAACATGATCAAAGATAAGGATACCAAAAATTTGAAGCCGGAAGGAATTATTCGAGACATTGGCCAGACCATGAATGGGGCAGAAGTAAATGTTTCCCACTGCTATAGAGAAGCCAACCAAATAACTTCTTTGCTAAACAAGCCTCCTCAAGTGGAAGTGGTACTTTTTATTATTCTTTTAGTCAATTTCCTAAAGAGGTGAAGGGACTATTTCTACTAGATAAGTGGCAACTTCCTAGCAGAAGGAGAAGATACGACAAATGTAATTTTTTTGTTAGTTGAACCAGTGTATCATGCTTATAGTATGAAAGTCTATGTCATCATAGTCTTTCTGTTAATTGTTTAGTTTATCCTCGTTGTTCTCTATCAGAGGTTAGGTCCATGTCCCCCTCTGCTTTTGTAGCTCTTTGGATGATATAGACATGGTAGGGGTCAAGCCTAACCCCCCACACCTTTAAAGTGATGGCTTAAATTTATTTTTTTTAAAAAGCAATCACCAACTGAATACTAAAAATATACCGGCAGCAAAGTGTACAAACAGCCAATTACAAGGGCCACCATTTGGCTCACTTAAATCGAAGGAACATTCCTAAACTTCGCAAAGAGCTATAGTTGATTGTCAATAGGTCGCAAATTAGGTAACAGAGAAAGATAGTCTACTTTTTTCACTAATCTTGAAGTTTCAGCTAAAGCTCAATTCCTTCGGCAGATCAAAAACTAATCACTCCTTACTCTTTTCCGCAGGAGACTCAATGTCACTATCCACAGCAGCCACTGCGCACTCATGAGAACTGCTTCCACTTGATGCATCCCCCTGCCTATAACTGTTGCCCATTGGTGGTGGATACACAAAATAACCATGGTGATGAGCCATTGGAAAATTAGGAGGCAGGTGATTGGGCATGAGGCTGTAGCCTGAAGCTGGATTAACCATTGGGCGCTTCAACGGTAAAGGATCTCCTCTCACGGATCCACGCTCACCACCATCCAACTCACGATAACGCTGCAAGTACAAAGTCAAGGGTTCAACGTAGTCATCAAAACCAAGTGCGTTCATGGCCCAAAGCAAGTCTTCAGCGGTGATTGTCTTGCGCTGCTCAAGCTTGCAACGATCGTTAGCTTCGCCTGTTACAAAGCTTATGAACTCAGAGACACATTCTTGGATGACCAGTTTGGATTCATCGGCTATCTTGGCTTGGGGAGGAAGGATCTTGCGCATGTTTCTGACCACGTTGGCTATTGGCATGAATCGGTCTTGCTCCCGAATGGTGCATTCAGAATCTTCTTCATTGGCAGCAATTTCCTGGTTGAGATGAGAAGGCAGCTCCATGCTTCTCTCCATATCTTAATTTCACACAACAACAGCATCAGAGTGAAATGAAAAAGAAGTGTAGTATATATAATCAAAATATTCATCTAATTTCATCACAACTAGCTAGGCTTTTGTAGTACAAATGTCCAATTAAACATTAGTAAATCACATTTGCTATTAACTAACTTTTCAAGTGTTGAAGCAATTACAGAACTAATGGCGCGCACATATATATGTTTCACTAATTATTAGCTGGATATGAGAGTAGTACTACTGTAAGACGGCACTATGAATTGTGGACAATAGTCATGTAAACACCAAAAGCACATATTATTTCAACAAAAGAGATGGCCAGTGTGAATACAGACTAATTAAAGTAATATAAAACGCTTCACGTATAGTTTTCGTCATCTTTCTTATTTTGTCTGATCTTCAACTAACTCTGGCATTTATCAAACCATCCAAATTCACTTCTGATCAAACGCCTTTTTATTTTACCATCAATGTGATATAGGAATAAGACAAAATTGTATCGTAACGGACACTACACTACCCACTGTTTTCATATACTCTATATTTCTAGTACTAGTTGTTCTTAAAGTTATATGCAATGCTTCTTAAACTTTGGATAAATAAATGTTTGTTAGATTTTAATTATTTTCTTAAAATGACTATTTGTTCTGATGATAAATTTGTTCTGTATTTTAATTTTATGGCAAAAGCACAGAGTAATAAAAATAAAACATGTCTAATTTGTGTAATACAACTTGCTGGTTTTCAAACTTGCTAGCTTTAGACAGTTTCTTTCTCACTCTCTTTTTATTAATTGCTTTCCACTTGTTCCCCTTTTGTCTTAAAAGTTCCAAAATAAAACCAGAAATGGACGTGTTGATCACCATTACCATGAATTGATCTATTGATCTTTGATATACAAACAACTAGCTTTGCAATTATGTATATGGAAAAAAAATGCATATATAGTCCCTAGATAATTAAAGACAGGTGTTTAGTAGATGACGATACAACAAGCTAATAAATGTATACAAGTTGCAGCTCTCCATCTAAAGAAGATAATGAAAAATTCAGAAGAATGAATGAAAATTATTAGCTCTCCTGAAAAAAAAATGTATCCTTTTTGCTATCTTTTTGGGGGCTAGTACTGTGTGTACTTCAACATTTATAAAGCTTCACGAATATATGAATATTCAACAAACCTAGTATATATAATTTCACAAGTGGTGTTTGAAAGAGTGATGTGTATACATTTGTTGCCCTACCTTCTTGTGAAGGTAGAGAAATTATTCTTAACAGACGCTCGGCTCGAGTAAGCATATAAAAATCAATTGTACAAAACAGATACAAAGTTTCATGAATGTTCCATGGAGAAGGGGAATGCATTTGTAAAAGTAAAATAGAAGTTAGGTAGCATACCAGGGGAAGGGGAACGGGCAGGGGTTGGTTGCGGGGATCTGCGATAGCTATGAAATCCTCCATTTCCTGAACCAACACGATTACCATTAGCCATCTCTCTGTACAGATATATGTATCTCTCTCTAAATATATAAAGTGGCTCTTGGCAAGTGATATTTATAGCTACAATATTTAGGAGAAAGGGGGGGACACATAGCAGTAGGGCGTAATGAACGAGGTGAAGGTATTCGCCCGGATAAATAGGTTTTCACAGTTGGGCAAATGAGTATTGACCGAAAACAACATAGTTATGTACTACTACTTCCTCAACCCAAAATAAGTGTAATTTTAGCTCATTTGACGTCCATTAAGGAAAATAATAAATTGAAGGTATAGTTTATTAAGTTACCTTTATTTATTAGATGTTCTTGAGAATTGAATACTATTAAGGAGTAGTTCTTTAATACGAAAGTATAGTTGGAAAAACATACAAATTTTTGCCTTGAATTCCTACGATATTTTGGGAAAATTTATTGTTGGCTACAGTGACACTTATTTTGGGACAGAGGGAGTATATGTTACTTACAGTTTAATTTTCAGCCATTTGGCCATTTAAAAACCCAAAAACAAATAAAACCCCGAATATGTCTGAATAGCAACTTTGTAACCATTTGTGAAATTTACCAACACTGAATGCAAACTTTTATCATCCACAATAGAACATCTTACATATGACAAAGCAAATCTGACTATAAATGGGACAACATCAAACACATAAAATAAGTAAATTTTGTGGCAACTTCCAATTCAGTTTAAGTATGACATCAACACACTTTTAAAAAAGAAGTCGTACGTAATACGCCACTGGGAAAACAGGTTGTAACTGAAGCTTAGCAGTTCCCTCAAATTTTCCTTAAAGTTTATGGGATTGCCTAATTTCTCGCACTGTTCAATGATCATCCTCACAAGTTTTGGAGAATGAGAAAAGAGGACTCTTATTAAGTACATTCCAGTACCTGATCCCTTGAGTTTCCGCAACCTCACTGTTTGAATCAATCTCATAGCTTCATTCACATGGTCTTTTTACATTGATAAGTAAGATAACAGTTTCGTTCTCTGACTCAATGTCTCATCAATCTGAAGACAAAGTCTCTTAATAGTCATCCTACATTACCAAAGTTAAAGATATAAAGTGTAACAATAAAACTTAATGGCAATATGAAAGTTTTAAAGATTTAGAATAAATAAAGAAAGGTGTTTATACATAGGACTGTCCTTATTAGGTATGGTATGTCTTACCTTTACAACCTCGTCTATTTCAATTTCGTAAAAGTTAGGAGAAGTCCTAAGCAGGCAAACTACACAAGAAAATACTTTCAACTGAAATCTTAAAGTCACAAATTTTCAGGCTTTGCAGTTTTAGTGACTGGCGAGACATGTCTGGCACATCAACCGAGCAATGTGTCTGAAACAAAAGATGCCAAAAAATGAAATTATGGAGTGTTGGTTAAAACAGCTACGAAAATAAAACGAGGCAGCATAATTTTGTTACCTCTAGGGATGTTCCATTCAAGAAAAGATGCTTAATGATTCTAAAGATTGGGTTCACATTAAAACACTCAAATGTAATTTTATAGCTGCTAAGGATAGACAAGTTCTCAAGTACTTGGAGAAACCAAATAAACGGAATCAATAGCAACACAAAATCTCAACTCCAAAATCTTGAGCATTAACTGATTAAGTGTTTTTTTTAATCCTATAGTACAGGCAATTGCAGAATCCTTGAACTGAAGACTAACATGATTGGGGAATTGAGTACCAACATGCTTAAGGATACATCTCGATAGCTTCAAATATATCAATGTTTCACAAGTAAATATGCTATCAGGCAACACATACTTTTCATCATTGGCCATATCTAGATTAAGCTTCTAGATACCATAATTTGAGACAAAGATGTCTATCCCGGAGAGAAGATGCAATCCCAGAATATTTTCAGTATGTTAAGCATGAGAATTTTATGAATTATGCTAGCAGCATATAAGATACGTACTTAAAAAACAGGGGATCAAACACAAGATTAGGTTGTGTAGACCATAACAGCCTCTAATGTTTTGATAAGATTCTAGCTCTTGCAGCGTATTTGATGGGCATTAGCTCTAGTACTCTATATAGTGTGTCAGTTGGTAATTCAGAAATAATAGATAAGGGTCAACTATATGATTCGTCATTACATTTTATTTTTTTTTATCTTCAAAATTCGGGGATCGTCACTACATTTCACTGACTATGAAAAGTTGAAAACAAATAATTACAGCCATAAGATTGTAGTTTATCTGCTTTAGTCATATCCTACATTGTTACAGTGATGTGCTTTTTATACGTCAGTGAGTTTGAATAAAGGGTATATTGGTACTGGACTAATGTAGTCGGTAACAGACCCTCTAATATAGATATTAACAGTAAGCGTGTTTGCACGTGAGTTAATTCGTTAGAAGAACTGATTGGGATGAAGAATCAGTCGTATATGCTCTTCACTAGTGGAAGATCAAGAAATAGCATCCATCTCGGTCATATACCGACCTTTCAAAATTCATATTCATAAGTTGACAACAGATAGTAGTATAAAGTATAAAGTTGCCAGTAGAATGAAAGGAACGATGTGTTTTATTGATTGTAAACTAAGTATATATAGATTCTGTACAACTTCTACAGCAAAGAGATAAACTAAGAAAAAGGTAAGACTTATCTATAACCTATATATAAGGAGGAAGTTACAACAGAGTCCTAAAGAGAAGACACTACTAAATCTGATCCGTTATTAAGTAGCAGTACTAACTCAAGTCTGCAGGTCAAAGCAATATCATACATCTTGGTGCCATACCGACCTTTCAGAATTCATATTCTCAAGTTGACAGCAAATATGAGCAGCAACAACTCAAGTCTGCAGGTCAAAGCAATAACATCCATCTCGGTGATATACCGACTTTTCAGAATTCATATTCTCATGTTGTAGCAACTCTTGAGAAACTTGCTCCATCAGGGCCGGTCACATCAACAGCCTTAGTACGACCATCACTGCCAGACTCAACCTCGAACTCAACTATATTACCATCAAATAGGCTATGGAAACACTTAGATCTGATACCAGAATAGTGAATGAAGAGATCGTCACTAAGCCACTTGACGGTTCCCCTAGCCATCTGTCCACTCTCACCTGCCATTCTCACTAACAAAAAGAAACCCTAAAAACCCATTGTGTGTCTCCTTTGGAATTATCACCGTGACAAGAAAATAATCTAATATAGTCGTTGGTCATTTTACTTATATTAGATTGTTTTCTTGTAACGGTGACAATTCCAAAGGAAACACACAAAGGGTTTTTAGTGTTTCTCTTTGTTAGTGAGAATGGAGGGTGAGAGTGGACAGAGGGATAATGGAATCGTGAAGTGGTTCAGTGAGGATCTCTTCATTCACTAGTCTGGTATCAGATCTGAGGGTTTCCGTAGCCTATTTGATGGCGACACAGTTGAGTTCTAGATTGGGTTCGGCAGTGATGGTCGTACTAAGGCTGTTGATGTGACCGGCCCTGATGGAGCGAGTTTCTTTGAAGTTGCTACAACATGAGAATGTGAATTCTAGAAGGTCGGTATATCACCGAGATGGATGTTATTGCCTTACCTGCGGACTTGAGTTGCTGCTGCTCATATCTTCTGTCAACTTGAGAATATGAATTATGAAAGCTTGCTATATCACCAAGATGGATGATATTAATTTGACCTGCAGACTTGAGTTAGTGTTGCTCCTATCTGTTGTCAACTTAAGAATATGAATTATGAAAGGTCGGTACGGAGATAGATGTTTTTCTTGAACTTACACTGGTGGAGAGCATATACCACTGATTCAATTCACCCCAATCAATTCTTCTAACGAATTAACTCTGGTGCAAGCATACTTACTGTTAATATATATCTATATTAGAGCATTTGTTACAAACTGCAAAATTAGTCCAGTGACCAATATACTCTTTATTCAAAATCACTTACGTGACGGGATTCTTAATTGCTCCAGTATCACTAGCTAGCAAGTAATCCTCATTCTCCAGCTTGGTGTAGTTCTTGAAGGTGTGCACTTCCCTTTAATTGTGTGTACACTCTGAAACAACACATACTAGTAGGCATCATCGTCCTCAGCTATCAGAGATCATTATCGTCCTTAGTTAGGGAACATCACTGAATTCCTATAACTAGACTATGCCAAGTGGCATAGCAAGAGTAGTATCAGTTCAAACAACGCATACTAGTAGGCATTATCGGTCGACCCGAACCTACTACATAATATGAAGTAGACATTCAGAAGGGAACATACTGTAACATCCGACAATTTGAAATAGCTAAGAAGAGGCTTAGAATTTGAAAATTTTCATTTTTGGAAAGGATTTGAAAATCTGGAAAATTGGCTAAGTGTGGAAATCAGTGATTTTTGGCCAACTTTGAGCAGTCATAACTTCCAGCTCAGGATGAGTTAGGAGTAGTTCCAGTTATGGTTGTGAAGCTTGTGTAATGATCTTTCCAACTCCGCCGAGTTTGCTCAATTCCGAATTCGTATGAGCGAGTTATGGCCCTTTGAAAGTTGGGAAGTTGACAAGAAAATCCGTCCGGGAATCATCAAGGGCATTTTGATCTTTTCCCTAGCTAATTCTTTTGAGGATATATTGTTGTATAGGGCTGATCTTTGGATCATTTTGTTCCATTTTAAGAGAGTGAAGGCTAGGGCTTGAGAAGAAGAAGAGAAGAAGAAGAGAAGAAGAAGAGAAGAAGAAGAGAAGAAGAAGAGAAGAAGAAGAGAAGAAGAAGAGAAGAAGAAGAGAAGAAGAAGAGAAGAAGAAGAGAAGAAGAAGAGAAGAAGAAGAGAAGAAGAAGAGAAGAAGAAGAGAAGAAGAAGAGAAGAAGAAGAGAAGAAGAAGAGAAGAAGAAGAGAAGAAGAAGAGAAGAAGAAGAGAAGAAGAAGAGAAGAAGAAGAGAAGAAGAAGAGAAGAAGAAGAGAAGAAGAGGAGAAGAAGAAGAGGAAAAATCGAGGAGATCATC